CTGTACTAAAGTTGTGTTCCTGCACGCCTAAACACGCCCAAATGATTTTCTCGCCAGTGTATGCAAATTATTTGACTAGGATGGCTTAAAGCAAGGGAAAAAGGGTTTGCATGCGCGAAAGCGAAGGTGTTAGTTTATGTATGTACAACAGTTTGCACCATATGTACCGACGCACTTGCATTAATTTCATGCACACCAGAGCTCATCTGTGTATGTATATTTTCCCGGAGGTAAAAACAATGCAACAAAAGTCGAGTAAAAACAGGCCCAAGTGGTGCGTCAGCTGGCGTCCACCGTGCTGGTAGCCTGGTTGGCTGGTACCTGCGCTGACCCGGTGAGTTGTCAACACTCTACCCTACTTGTAACGCTGTTAACCGATTACAGCACCCCGTTCAACCGCAAGCTTTATTCCAGCGGCGATCGAACTTTGTAGCTAGATCTGTAATGCAATATGACCTTTTGAGTGCTTTTTGGCGGCGCTTACTTAAGAATTTCGTGCATGGCCAATGTTCGTGCTAACATTTTACATGTACCACTGAAGGTTTACTGGCAAGATTTTGAAAAATTATGCAGTTGACCAAACACTTATTAGTTGCCACATTTTATGCGGCATCTGCCAGATTTTATCTTTTGCCAGGTGCCAGAGTCTCCAGGTTTTATCGCTCGCCATGCCATTGGCAGTGCCACTGGCAGGTGCCAATGCCACGTTTTACCCCCTGCCGTCCGAGTTGCCGGCTTCGCTAGACTCATCGCTGTCATCGCTGGATTGTACATCGTGGATGGGTGCTGGCGACCAGTCCTGCATGTAGTACCATAAGGCGTGCTGGCAGAATCGGTTCAGCTTTCCCACTTCCACACTGGCCACATTGTACGACGTCCACTTGTGATTGCCATATTCTGCGGATGGACGCGGATCACAGCCTTGGTAGTGTAAGGGCGGGACGCCCCGCCCTCCTGAGTAGCTATTCGCTGTTTCTGGGGATTTCCACCCCGCACATTGCTACGCTGTTTTGACGGACCTGCAGCACAGTTGCACTGGCTGCAGGATCCTTCCTCATTAGTTTTGGTGTTGCTGCGCCACGGTGCGCATTAGATTCGGCAATAAAGCCTCATCCGGGTTCACCGCTGTTCGCTGTCGAGGATACGCGTGGCGCCCATACGGCCCCGCGTTATATGGTAGCAGATCTGGCTATCGTTTCCAGCTGCGCGCGCTCGTCGCGCCCGCAGCACCTCTGAGTTATGAACCCCATTTAACCCCGGGGTGTGGAGCTACATTCCCACCCCCACGCGGAACGTGATGGATCCTCTCCCAACTGACGGAGATGGACGCCTCCCGCGACGGATGCCTCCCAAACTGGACGGAGATGCCGCGGAGCGAGAAACGCCTCCTGCGATGCCGTGGAGCGAGAATTGCCTCCTGCGATGCCGACGGCGAACGCGACCCGGACCAGCGGGAAACCAGAACGGATACACCGCCAACAGCAGCACCAACTCCGATCCCAACGGCACGGATCGACCACCAGCACCACGCCGAAGAATTCCCCCACCAAAACACTGCCCGAACTTCCTGGGACGGCGACATCCCCCCGGACGGAGCAGTGGATTTCACCGCGGATTTGCGTGCTTTGTTTTTTTGCAGGGGTCACGGGCCACATAGACCCCAAACCCCTGCCCAAATTTCCCCAGAACGTGACCTTTCCCTTGCTGAAGAAACCACGGAATTCACCCGTTTCCGGGTTGGACCCTGGATCTGGCGCGACAGTGCGTTGACCCAGACGGTTGACTCGGACCGAACCAGAGCCGACCTGACCCGGAACCCAACCTGAGCCGAACCGGATTTGAGCCGACCAAACTGGAACCGAGCCGATCGGATTAACCGCCCGAACCGGACCGAACTGACCCGGAACCCAACATGAGCCGAACCGGCGGGGGGTGCGGATCCTCCGAATCCTGGGAGATTTCGCTCCGAGGACGTAGCGATGCCTGCAAAAGGGGTGTAAGGGCGGGACGCCCCGCCCTCCTGAGTAGCTATTCGCTGTTTCTGGGGATTTCCACCCCGCACATTGCTGCGCTGTTTTGACGGACCTGCAGCACAGTTGCACTGGCTGCAGGATCCTTCCTCATTAGTTTTGGTGTTGCTGCGCCACGGTGCGCATTAGATTCGGCAATAAAGCCTCATCCGGGTTCACCGCTGTTCGCTGTCGAGGATACGCGTGGCGCCCATACGGCCCCGCGTTATAGTAGGCCCGCAGGATCTGCGCAATTACACAGCCAATTCAACCCTTCACTCAACGAGAATGTATGTTCTTAATAAATTACAGTAAATCAGTAATCGTTTTCTATGGGAGAAACCGTTTACGGTGACAACTGGAGCTTTACAAAATTAATGCTACAATTAATTTAAATATAGCCACACGAGATACGTATATTGACAGTACAGCTCCATAAGATAAATTATTATTTCATAATGATCACTTCTTAAAACGGTGCTTTTAAAGAAGTACACTGGGTTTTTTTCATTCAGAATTACCTACATACTTTCAATATTTGTGGAAAATTATGGTGAACGGTTATCGAATTATCCGGTGTAAAAATAGGTAATGCTAGAAGGTGAAAACGAGTGGGAGCTCAAAAGCCAAGCAAAATTTTCTGCTATTCAAAAATATTATATCTATTATAATTATTAGAAGGCGCTTAGTATACGTGAATTCATGCCCGTCGCGAGACCCCTGTGCAATTTTCAAAAAAAACTCCTCCTACAGTTTTCATCGGAAAATTTAACGTGATAGACGCTTTGCTGCACAACACGTGACTGGATTATCACTGATTCTCGCTGGGTTTTTTTGTCTATCACGTATTTTAGCGCATCCTCGCACCTCAAGAAGATTAGCCCGTAGTCTTTAACCTTTTGGGATTTAAAGGACCTTATGCAAAATCTTGACCCCCTGTTACGCCGCCTTTCGGTGCAATGTCAGCACTGTACCTTCTTCACTTTCCGCGCCTCCTCCCTGTATTCAATCCGCTTAGCTACGCACTGCGCAACGTGCTGCACATCCAACGGCAGTCCCTCACTACAGCGCAGATTCTTCTCCAACACGTCCATAATGTCCGCCTCATCCACCTCTTCCTGCGTGAAGACGGCAAACGGAATGTGGGCCTCCATCATGGAGGCATGTTCCTTGTCCAGCAGCGTGAGGGTATACTCCTTCCAAATCACCCCATCGCAGCGCACCACTAACTCGGCCGTGTTTGCAGAGATCTCGGCGGTCAGCACCTCAAAATTCCACTGATCGAATGCAGAATGAAATTCTGACCGAGCGCTGGTGCATGATGAAACGTTTAATGCGGAAGCCAGCGTCGTGCAACAACTGCTTAATACAGGCCACGGTTGCATCGGTTGTGTTCAATTCCTCGCTACCCTGGTAGTCCGATTTCGTGTCGCGGATGCAGATGTTGCGGGTGGCGGACGTGATTTGCTTGATTAAACACGCGTACATTAAATAACTGCGCTCCCATCTTTCTCGGCGGCGCCAGTACGCCGGGGCGGCAATGATCTGTCGCCGCGTTACACGCACGTCTCTGCACATCTCGTCTAACTTGAGAATGGCATCCCACAGCGGACACACTCGGCGACAGCGCTGTCGGTCCACCGTCTCCATTGCATGGAAGATTTCTTTCTGCAGTTCCACGGGCAAATCGAAAGGAGGCCCTTTTGACAATCCGCCGTTTCTTCCGCTTTGCCTCGCAATCGTCATTTATCTTCTTGGAAATGCTGCGGTGGTATTCAATGTCGTTTCTTTCCCACTCAAACAAAATCCCCTAAAAGCAGATCAAGAGAATGCGCAAGTCTATCACACTAATTCCGGAAGGAACCAGCAAACTTATAAATCGACTTACAACATCGGGTCCAGTGGACTCTTGGCTCCGCCGCAAATAGTGCATCTCCTGGCTGAGCACCCGAACGAAACGCCGGCGCAAGTACCGTTCCACTTTCCGGAGCAGCATCGCCGATACGGCCGGCTGCAGAGTCCAGTACCCGTTCGGCACACTACACGTTTCCATGACGAAATGGCCTGGCTGCACCGCTTCTCGCGGCTGATCACGAAGTTGTAGGTGGGGAATGAGTTCACGGCGATACTGCTCGTCCACCCTCACCTCCACCAGCTCCATATTGTCCATGCAGTGGAACCACGAAAACGAATACGAAGACTTCAAAGTTTTCCCCGGATACCACTTCCACGGACGATCCGGGCCGTCATGCAGCAGCACCTCCACCTCGCCTGTCATGAGACGGCTTCTGCAGTCCTCGTCGGAGCAGTCCCAGATCTTCCCGTATTCCACCAGCACCACTCGCTGTGACGAGCATCCGAAATCAACGATCAGGCGCGGTGGACTGCTATCGTGCACTGGCCTTTCCTCCAGACCGATGAAATGGCCATGCTGCAGCTGACCGTCGATTTCCACGTCCACAGAGTTCCACGCGTACAGATATCGTTCAGCGTCTTTGTACAGATGGCATTTTATTCTTTCTGGTTTTGAGAAGCAGCCGTGTGTGAAGAGTCGGCGTAAACAGAAATTCTTCAGCAGACACTCAGCCAGAGAGCAATGCCAGATAAAGGAATAAGAGAAAAGTTGCTCGTTCCAAGACGACAGAAACTGGGCTGTAATTGCTCAGGTAAACAGTGAGAATGCCTCAGAATGGACTGTGAGCTCAAGCTGACAGCCTTCATGGCAGAACTGTAAGTCCTTCATAGGTACTGTAAGTGCCGCTATAAGCGGTTATTTCTTTCGCTGTTTTACTACCTTCACAGCTCGTACTTAATTTGTCAATGTAACCCCTGCTAGTTGGCGGGTGCAGAAATGCTAGAGCAGTCGATTGCTTCACCCATGACTGGGGGGCGGTTGCCACACGACAGGAAAACGCCGTTTTGTTAGAAAACTGGGCCCTCATCGACGAGTCACGAGTCATCGATTTTTCCATCAGCAGTGAGCAGTAGCGCTGTTCTGTCGGCCATTTTGACAAGCGGCCATTAATCCGAACTAACTCTGTTTTGTCTTAGTACGGTCTCCGTTCGCTGTTCTGCACATTGTTAGCATCGTTCACATGGCTTTTCTGCCCATAGGATACGCGCCTTCTAGTTGCGGTTACGCTGAATACGTGCACAGCTGGCATGCTTATCGGTCGTCGCCCGTTGGCTTTTTCGCTTTCGTTTTATTAGCGAAGTCTGCATAGAAAATTGCTGGTTCAAATTGCTAGTTGCTAGTTGGCTCTTTGGTTCAGAAAGACTGAGAACCCTTTTTCCCGTCGGTTGGCATCGTTGCGGAAGTTATCAGGCTGTCTCGTTCGAATTCCGTACCATTTTCACTCGGCACATCGTTCGCCTTTCTACTATTCACTTGTCTGACAAGAATGCACCTGTACGAAGATGGTGAACGCTTTCTGTACATCTGGAACAGCGTGGATGTCGAGATTGATGGCCAGGTGCAGCACGGCCACGTTATCGGCTTGGAGCAGACTCCGCCGCGTTTAATTGTCGATTTCGGTTGCCCGACACAGCAGGCGGTGCTGGTGGAATACGGAAAGATCTGGAAAAGCTCCACCATTCGACACAGTCGGGCGCGCGAAGGCGCCGCTGTAGAGGTGCTGTTGCACGACGGCCAGCATCGCCCTTGGAAGTGGCACCCCGCAAAAATGCTTATTCCTGGGTTGGCCTTCGGCCGTCTGGAAGATATGGCGCTGGTGGAGGTGGTGATGGACGGGCAGTGTCGTCGCGAAGTGATTCCCTGCCGACAGATTCGCGATGTGGTGGGAAAAACTGCCCGGCCAGGACTCATTGCAGCGGACCATTTTGTCATGGGAGCGTGCAATGTGCCAGAAGGGTACTCGAATCTGCAGCCGTCTGTAGCCGCTTCCCTGCTGCGAGAATTTGAGCAGTCTTTTGAGTTGCGGTTTGTCAAGGTTCTTGATAAGGAGATGCGCTATCTGCGGACCCTCAACAAGCATTCTTGGTGGGATGAACATATTGTGAGTTGTCGTTGATGGCTGTTTGTGGCAGACCCACAGTTGAACCTTTTGTCTGAGAAGCAGCACTATAACCAGGTTTCGCATTCTCTTACTGACTCTTAATTCTAGGCTATTTGTTTTGAACGAGACTTTTACCGCGACGCGCTCCGGAAAAACAACGACTCATGTGCAGAGCCCGAGGTTGAGTCGAAGCCTAAACGGAGAAAGCTGTTGCACGTGGGTGATGAAGGTTCCACGTTGCCTGTGGTTTTTTTCGATGCAGGCAGCTTCAAGTTGCCTATCGAACTGCTACAGGAAATCTTCCAGTCACTGGACACCATCGATCGACAGCGTTGTCGGCGCACTTGCCAACTGTGGGAGGTCATCCTGACCACGGGGGAGATGGGTCTCGAGGTGCGTGTATCGCGGGAGCCACCCACCCCTCCGCTGCGGCAGAAGTGGGACTGCAACTACCCCATGTACGCCTGCATCCTTAAGCTCATCACGCCCGCCACCCGCACCGTCAGCATTCGCGATGCCGAAACTCCTGGTCTCCGCCTGCGTGGTACGCTGGGCTTAATCAGTAAGGTCTTGCTCAGGGGCGGCCTGCACCTGGACCGACTCGTCATGTACCAGCGAGCCATCCGCATAACAGCGTTGACGTACGATGGTAAATGGAAACTCAACTCACTGTGCGCTGAGATTTCCGAGCACCTGTCCAAGCTGGTGGCGTGCTGTGATCGGCTAATTTGGAAAGATCAAGTTCTCACACTGCTGGACAAGAAACACGCGGCTTTGATGGATTTCCGGATTTCCCTTGCTGTGTTCACCACGGGACATGTCGATGAGGAACGCATTGTGGATGTGTTAGAGCAGCATCTGCTCTACGAAGGGGAGTTGTTGGATGTGCGGCGCATTGCCCAGTACTTGGCCCATCGGATCGACTGCAAGAGGAACGCCAAGAAAGTGAAAGAGGTACCTTAAGTTCCTATGATTTTCTCAGCGATTATCCGTTTTTTCTTCTGTTATATTTGGCCAACTATCCACGGACGCTATGCGAGTTGCATCGAGCAGCAGCGAGCCTAGCACCCACTACCGATCAGCTCGCATAACGTGACTGAGCAATTGTCCAGACTGTATACGCACTTAAATTGAGGATTTTTTTAAAAATACATATTTTAATAACTAAGGATTTGTTGTGTGACATGGCGTGAAGAATCCATTACGGATTGATTTAAATGTTTCACATTTTAGCGTTTCTAGGATTAATAAGAACATTCGTCATTGAGGATAATCGAGAATCAAGGTTTCTCGCAAATTGTACCACTGCGAATGGTCCAGTCTGGTTTTCCAAACGTTTTTTTGCTGGATTTTAAAACCAGTATGATTTTATTTATGATAATTTAACTTCTTTCCTGGAGTAGTAAATTGTTCATTTTGCTGGGTAATTCTACAGATCCTACGGAACTTCCAGTCTTGCGATCCTCGTTCGTCGGCGCATTACCGAAACCACACGTGGACGCTGTACAATGTAGCCAGCGTGGATGTGAGCCAGCTCAACCGGTTGTGCCTGTACGCCTTATGGCGCGGCATACAGGACTGGTGGCCGGCATCCGGGAATGACGCCGCGCAAGCTGTACATTCCGACGAGTCCAGCAGTGAATCCAGCAATACCACAGATTCCGAGTCGGATGGCGGCGAGGAGTAAACAGTTTCAAATTTTGTTCGATGAATTTCGCACCAAGTTGTTGAAATTATTGTGTTGGTCAGTAGTGAATAATCATCGGAAGAACCTTTCTTTGTTCAGATATTCTATTCAACCCAAAAAATAAGATACCTCCTGATTATTATTTTCTGAGCTACAATTGACAGCAACATTAACCTAACCACGGATCAGGCCAGCTGCAAAACCGGCTTTATCGTCGTCAACCTTAAGTTGATTTTGCACTTCATTGTACCTTCTGTCATTTCGTAAATCGCAACTACTGATAATTACAGTAGGGTGGAATCTTAACCGGATGTTGCGCCCACAGACGGGTTTAACGCCAATTTATGGAAATCGCCTGGATTTTGAATACTCTAAACTAGTCAAAAACGTTGAAAATGCGCTTAAGCGAAAATTTTGTAAGTACATGTACACTGTACTGGTACCATTAGGCATTAAGGATACTCGGCCTCCTTGCAAAAGGCACAACTGTGGTTATTGTACCGCCTCAGGGCTTTCACTCCTGTGAAACTCTGGTGGAAATTCTGCTCGTCAATAAGATTTATTGTACTTACAGTTTGACTACAGTACTTACAGTAGTTACTAGTTAGTAGTTACAATACTTACAATTGTTACTATGACACCGAGCATGCAATATTAACAAGATTTCATTAGAAAATACAGTATGTAAAATATCACAATAAGTATGTCTGGTTACTTATTAGTTCGATTCTACGTTGTAAAACTTGACAGACAGCGGCGCATAGCGAAACATGCCCTATTTTCACCCCCCGAGCCGTATTTTTTATTCCCTGACGAGCCATACTGTACTTCTAATGTCGGCATGCCATAGTCGAGTAACCCACCCCCGTGGGCGTCTGCACGCAACCGTAACGTGGGCGGGTGCCTCTATCGCCGCCTGAAGCTACCATGGGCGGTTGACAACAACGACTACTCAGGGCGGTTGCCATCTGTCTGTGAAATGTATCCTTTTCACAATAGACTATAATATGCTTTGATATCACAAAATACTGAATGGTTATGCTTTTCCAATATCAATTACATCAAAAGCAAAATAGTTTTCGTTATCGCTTAGTTTCGTTAAATGGTTTAGTATATTCGCTAAGTTTTCGTTAATATAGGGGGAAAAACCATGTCAGTCGAACCAATTCACGGCACTGCTGCCGTCACCCGGCTGGAGTGTGACGTTACGGCAGTACATACGGCTAAATCAGGCGCGGTACATAAGCACCATGTTTAGCCACAACGTTAAACTCCAGCCGGCTGACATCAGAAGCACAAGGGACTGGCTCGGGTAGACTGCTTTTTCCCCCTATATATTCCCGAAACTGCGTACTGTTAAGTTTCGTTAGGTTTTTCGAAAAGACTGAAAATTTCCGTTTCGCTGCTGAAATCTTGAAGATTTACGAACTTTACTTCAAACAAAATTACAAAAATCTTCTTGCAAAAGTTCTTTCTGTTGAAAACAGCTGTAAACCTGACGCATGATACAGTCATGACAACAGACAGAATGAACAGGACTATTTCACCAATTTTTGTCATCATTCAGTGCCATTTTTGCATGATTGGCGTCAGGTATCATTTTGCATGAAGGTGTGTTTATACTATATGACAATGATAAACCAAATTTCTGTATTCAAATATGAATGAGCATCACTGAAATGACAGTAAATGATGATCATTTGGCTCGTATGATGGAAGTATAACTACGCCTTTAGCTTTGTGTGTACACTGTGTACGTACATCTATATACAGCTGTAATACAGTCATGTGATACACCGGGTTCCGGGTTGGGCAATATGTATGCGGTTGACCGCCCGGCCTTTTGACATAGTTCCGGCTAACGCTAATGCAAATCCGGTTGTTGTAGACCGGAGCAGAGAACGAGTACAGTAGATGGAATTTTAACAACAACAGATGTTACTCGCTGCTCGTGCAACGATAAACTCTTCAAATAGTACAAAACATCCTCTCGATGGGCTAGGTCGGGAACAGACAGACAAAGCAGAGGCAGCGCAGCAAAGATAAAAATAATAGCGTTTAATCGGACATGACCGCATTAACCAAACCGGATTTAGTGACTTTAGTCTCTACTCGTACCCAGGTTACAGGTACTCTCATCTTCGAAAGCGAATATACTATACTTACTTGTCGTGCATTTGCTTAGGGAATAATTATTTTAGTAACCGCTCCTGTCTTCGCCGTTACGCACGGCGTATAGCCAAATCTTAATAAGAATGCACGTGTACGAAAATTCCGAGCGCTCGGTCCACGCATGGAACGCGGTGGATGTGGAGAGGGACGGTCTGCTGCAGCACGGCTACGTTATCGGCCTGGAAGAGAACGCCACCAGTGCGCCGCGTCTGATCATCGATTTCGGGTGTCCGGCACAACAATCGGTACAGGTTTCCTATGGGAAGATCTGGGATTGCTCTTTCGAACGACATCGCAGCGCCAGCGAGGGAGACAACGTGGAGGTACTGCTGAGGGAAGCCAAAAATGGTGCCTGGAAGTGGTATCCTGCGACTATGCTGATTAGTCGTGTAAAGCAGGTTATCAATGTTGCGCTTGTGGAGATAACGTTGGACGGACAGTGTCGTCGCGAACTGATTCCCTACCGACAAATTCGGGATTCCTCAGGAGAAGCAGTCAGGCCAGGGCTCCTTACAGCCGGTCATTTCGTCATGCAGACGTGCAGCGTGCCTAACGGTTACTGGACTATGCAGCCGTCGGCGGCGGCGTTGCTACTCCGGCGGATTGAAAAGGAGCTCGAGCTGCGGTTTGTGAAGATTCTCAGCCAGACAATGCACTATCACCGGCGATCTGATGAGCGGCCATTGGGGGATTTTGACATAGTAAGTCGTTGATAGAGCAGGCGCGTTGAGTTTAGAGAATGGGCGTCATAGTCTACCGCAAAGCTACCTTAGAATACTAGCATGATAAACAAAAGATATTTACGTTTTCAAATGACGATAGCATTTTTTCACGGCCAACACAAAATGTGTTGCTCAGCCCGCTCGCGCCCCCTGAATGCGGCTCACTCGTTGCTCGACGCTCGACAACTTGGCTCGGCTCGGCTCGTGAAAAAACTGCCAAAACAGATTATAGTTCGCCAATTCGGCTCGCGAGCCGAGTCGAGGCTGGGCACTCGCGCAGGGCTCTAAATATTAAATAAAGCCCCAAAAGGCTTTTTATTAAAACCTCGTAATATAATACCATTTTTTCAAAAATTTCCAACAATTGAAAAAAAGAAAACGTTTATCAACATCGCCTGAAGATTTACCGTTTGAAAAATTTCAGGAAATGTCAAATATTGGAAGTCCAACTTTATGTTTATTAGCATAGCGTTCTCCATTCATTTTGTCTTCCACCATAGGCAATAAGTTTCGAAGAAAAAAGGAATTTTCCTTCATTCCACCGTAAATTACTCGAGAAGAACGAAGACGTGGACGCTGAGCCAAAGCGGAAAAAGCCTCTGAGTGTCGCTGAAATGGGATGGGAATTATTGCTGAATGAAGTGCTGAAGGAGATCTTCCATTCACTGGACACCATCGACCGACAGCGCTGCCGCCGCACCTGTCGGTTGTGGGAGACACTTCTGACTTTGACGGAACTGTGCAAAGATATTCGCATATTTCGGGAGGAGCGCAGCTGTTCACAGCCCGTGGACTCGGACTGGAATTATTCTATGTACGCCTGCCTCTTTAAGCATATCACAACCGCCACCCGCACCATCTGCATTCGCGATCCCGATCCGCTTTACCTTACTCGTCGGAACAGGAAAGCTTTAGTTGCCGATGAAGCGGCGGATCTGATTAAGAAGCTCTTGGACGACGCCGGCATCCGTATTGAGCGCCTCATCATGAACCAGCGAGTTCTTCATATCGCACAGTCAGCATTTGATCAATGGAATTTGGGCGTGTTTTCCACCGAAATCAGCGCGCTCCAGTCTACGCTGGCGTCGGGCTGTGATCGTGTGATCTTCAAAGAATATGTTGTTAAGGTCAATGTGGGTTTTCCAGAGCGAGACGCAGTCGGCATGGAGTTCCGCATTCCTGCTGCTGGCACCACCAAGGGACACGTTGATGACTTGCAGATTGTCGACCTCTTTGAGAAAAATCTCTGTTCGGAGGAGCCACTATTGGATAATGAGGTAATCGGCCAGAAACTGACTAGTCTGGTTGACAGCGAGTCGAGGGCCAAGAAAGTGAAAGAGGTATGTTGACATGACTGTAGGCTGTACCACTGTAGCAATTTGAACTTTGAACGCGGTAGAGTCACACGGTCATCATGCTACATGGTTATACAGAGCCACTGACTTGCCTAGAACTTACTGCATTGAGTCAACAGTCCCCGAAAGTTCAAATCGCGCGACGCTATGGCTGTTGCCTGAAGCTTTCCAATGTGCTTAACCAAGTGAGTAATTTCGCAGATTATCCGGGACTACCAAGAATGTGATCCACGCCCGTCGATGCTTCATCTCGGACATCAGTGGCACTTGTACAATTTGGGTGACGTGGATGTGGGCAAGCTAAACCGATTCTGCCTGTATGCTTTATCGCACTACTTACGGAACTTGCCTCAAGCATGCGTCGACGCGGGCGCGCAAGCTCCGGAATCCGGCGAATCAAGCGATTCTAGCAGTGTGTTCAGCGATCCTAACAACGAGTCAAGCAGTGAGCCCGGCGATGAATCCAGCGATTCTAGCTTCGAGCTAAGCAGTGGATCCGAATCCGACAACGAGCCCAGAAACTCCTGACTGTGGAATGGCCCTTAAATCCTGATTATTGCAAAATTATGAGTCTGTTGATGAATTTTGGTAGTGGTAGTGAGCGACAAGTGAAGGAACAGCAGAAAAACCGTTTCCGGCGGCTAGATAGCAGAATGTAATAAGGAAGTATCTCACACATTTTAGGCTTTATAATTTGCTATCAGATGCGCGGAGCGAAATCTAACGATTTTTGAATTTTGTGTTATCGTGCATCTGTTCATTTTATGC